ACATGGACAAGGTTATTCGGTGATGAAACTCTGTCGGCCATTACTTTGATGTGAATCTCATCGATGACGGAGAATTGAGGCAATGCAAGATCGTATAATTTGACAAAAAATTTCATTGCAATGCAAGATGTTACTCTTTCCATCTCATGATAACTATGGGAAAAATCTGACTTTGGATCGAGAATGGTTTGTTTGTGTGATTCTGTAGGAATTAGAGGTCAATTCCCACCGACGATGCCACTGTTCAGTTGTGGTACCAAAATTGGCATTGATCATAATCCTAGGACTTTGAAAGTGATGATGTTGATCTTTGATACAGTGACAAGAGATGAACTTGCAAGGTTAATACTCCAACCGCCCAAGTCAATTATAAAGTCTAAGATGAGTATAATAAAAAAATGAAGATAAAAAATTATACTTTAAATATCACATGTGTTGATTATATACGTTGGATACTTACAAATGGATTGAGAGGTTGGACTCTCGCATTGGACCTTTTACCAATCTAAAATAGAGGCAAATGGTTAGATTTTATTAAGTGCTTCTGTTGTACCCCAAAATTTGCTCTCTCATGTTTCCCAAGGTTTATTTTACATGGTTGGTTACAAACACTTGCCAAAAGAAAAAAATGATTTTTTTTAATGATAGTAAAGTGTCTTTCGATTGGCATGCCAACAATGTCTTTCGATTGGCATCTGAGTAATATCCTTCAATTGGCACATCAGAGTAAATGGTCCTTCGATTAGCATGTCAACAAGCTTCGATTGGACGTCTAAAACCCTTCTATCAAGCACTGGCCCATCAGCTTTTATGGCGCGTTGGTTCCCCCTTCGAGCAAGCCTTGGTTCGAGTTGCAGAAGGCCAAAGGCCTCTTCATGAAACCTTCGATTCACTAGGCCAAAAGCCTCTTCATGCTTGCCTTGGATTCTCTAAGTCAAAAGATTCCCCCAACAGACCTTCGATCCACAAGACATAAGCTTCCTCAGACTTATCTTAGATTCACAAGGACAAATGCTATGACAAAGAGAACTTTGGGCAATTCAAATTGATGCAGATATTGACTTAATTAAAGAAAATCTGATAAGGGAAAACTCTGAAGATCTGGGCAATTTGAATTGGTATGGATGGACTCCATTAAAGGACCCGAATCAGAGTCATTTGAAGGAGGCAATCAGAGCCATTCGAAGGAGGCCATCAGAGCCATTTGAAGGAGCTGAACCAGAGCCATTCGAAGAAGGCAATCAGAGTCATTCAAAGGAGGCCATCGGAGCTATTCGAAGGAGCTAAATCAGAACCATTCGAAGGAGGCCATCAGAGCCATTCGAAGGAGGCAATCAGAGCCATTCAAAGGAGGCCATTAGAGCTATTCGAAGGAGATGAATCAAAGCCATTCGAAGGAGGCCACCAGAGCCATTCGAAGGAGGTAATCAAAGTCGTTCAAAGGATATCATTCGAAAGTCAAATGTCCAGGTTCATTCAAATTTAAAAAGGGACAAGAAACCATGTCTCTGGCATCGTTTCAAAATGGTATTCATGGTCTTAAAGCACCAACTTAATGGAAAGAAGGCCAAAGGAGGGTAAATCAAAGGAGTAATTCCTTTGGATAAAAAAAAAGCCTCTACATCATTTTCTTATTTTTTTTGGTTTTTACTTATTTATTTTATTTTCTTGCCTCATGTTTTATTAACATTAAAATCAAAATCACAAAAAATATTAGGTTAATATTTTTTTAATTAAACTAATTTTGTAAACAAATTAATTAATTATTTTACCCTTTTATTGAAATTAAAATTAAATAGACTTAAGTTTTATTTTCTTTTATAAATAAAAACAAAACAAAAAAAGATTTCTTTAGGTTTACTTAGCTTAACTCTTAGGATTTCTTAGACGTTTCTTTATTTCGCGCGCATTATTTTACTTTTGTATTTTTTATAATAATGTATTTGCTGACAGTGTGTAATAGGTTAAAATAGGATTTTATCGCTTTCTTTATTTTTCCTCCATTTGGATATGTAAATACCCCTCCCCAAAACATTATAATAACGTAGGATTTATATTCCCGCACTTTACATTTCTGCACTTTAAATTCCTGTATATATTAACTGCTAGTAACTAGGATTGCATGACAAGACTAATAACAAAACGCTAGTAAAATTAACACCAGACTAAAATAACTGAACATAACACACCATGCACATATTCACCTCTAGGATACCCCACTTCGGTTGCCTTCGGAAAATGGTCATAATTCTCGAAATGTGAGAAGTTTTAGTGGTTGTCCTCTAGTTTAAAAGATCACAAGTCCCTCGATGACCCTCTCTATGTTGCCTCGGTTAAAAGTGATCTTAGAACTTTAGGACAGTTACTAAAATTCCTTGCCAAGTTGCCTTTCGTGACCGTATCGTCTCTTCGTCGTCCCTCATACATCCAACGATAGGGCTACCTACTCACTAATAGTAGGATATCACTATCTAAAGGATAGGAGGAAAAGAACTACCTTTTCGAGTACAAGTAGATAACTATTAGACCCTGCTCAAATAAAACAAATTTTTTACACTTACACATTTCAAAAACACTTTTAAAAATATTCGCTTTGTCAACACTCTTGAGGACTGATACAAGAGTTATCACAAAGCAAATTGCCGCACTAAGGCATTTCAAACTACTTTTTCAAAACACAAAGCACAAGGTATTTAGAAAATGAGCTAAACATCTAAGAGCCCGTAGAAAACTACGGATGGAAAGGGTGCTAACACCTTCCCTTTCCGTAATCTACCCCCATTACTCAGAAAATTCTCAAAAATGTCTTTTTCTGTTCTTTTCACCCTTTCCTTAATTTGGATAAAAGAAAAGTCGGTGGCGACTCTTGCTTACCGCAACATTTGTAAACACAAACACAAAACCAGTATTAACAGTCGGTTCTGCTACTGTATCACAGCTTCAATTTTAATTAATTTCTTTTTTATCTTGAGAAATTTAATTTAGCCATATAATTTTCTTATAAGTTTTTGAAAATTTTTTCAAAATTTATTTTAATTAATTTGAAGTAAAAAAAGGGTTAAATATGCAAAACCTCCCTGCAATATTAGCAGATTCAAGTTTTAGCCCCTCGTAAAGTTTTTTTTTAAAAACCCCTTGCAATTTCCAGTTTCCCTCATATACAACCCGTTAGTCCAAATTCTTTTTTCAATGACGTGTCAGTCCAGTTGAAATTTTATTTTATAGAAATTATTTTTCTAAATTATCAAAATAATCTTTTGGGCTTAAGCCCATTTAAGTTTCAATAGCAACCCATTATTCTCACACTGTTTTCAATTCATTAATTGATATGTTTGATTGATATATAAACACTATTTCTGTTGCTAAAACAAACAACGTGAGACTATTAAAGCCAGTGAATTATAGATTTCATGACAGAAGTTTTTGTTGCATCAGAAGATATGACTATAAAGGTTAAGTTTTCTAGAAGGCAAAATAGAAGACACCTAGAAGAACCATCACATGCAGAAATCTCAGTACAAACTTGACATTCTAACACCTCGTTATCTTTAAGACATTGTTCCTTAATTAAAGCCATTTACAATGTATGGTAAAGTTTAAGCCCACTTTTGTATTAATTTTATATTTATTTTACAATGTTTTAAGAAACTTGTAAGCTTAATGTTTATGTAATGTTTTTGGGCCAAGTACTATAGAGGTTTTCTAGGAAAGTTGTAGAAAAATACAAGAAAAATAAAATAATCTATATTGATATATTAGGTTTTGTAAGAAAATGTAATTGTTAAAAGGCGTTCAATTATTTGAGTTATTATAGGTGATTGCTTAATCCGTCTTTGAAAAATGCGACATTTCATTGAGACATTTATACAATCAGTCGGCATTATTAAAATTCAACTAACGTTTTTGTTTTAATATCTTCAAAACTTTATGCACTACCTTGATATCATTGATGCCATCCTCTTGTTGTGTAAGAGAACTCTGAATATGATGATTACAGAGAGATGTTATCTGAATAGTGAGCTATTTAATTCTCTTGTACATATTGTAAATGAATTGAATATTTGGTCTATAATATATTGATTGGTAGTATATGTAGCAATGAGGAACAACCTAGCTCAGATATTTTGGAATTGGCAGAGAAAGCTTATAGTGAGATGCTTGATTCAGAAGTTGTATTAAATAAGGTCACTGTCAGCAATTTTGTACGGTGTCTTTGTGGAACTGGAAAATTTGATTAAGTTTTTAATTGGTTGTTTGTTTAAAGATAACTGGTTGGATCTTGCTAGAAGACAATGATGCACTTGCTAGAAGGTAATGGTTCACTAGCTTTAATAGTCCCACATCATTTGTTTCAGCAACATAAATAATGTTTATATATCAATCAAACATATCAATTAATGAATTGAAAATAATATGAGAATAATGGGTTGCTATTGAAACCTAAATGGGCTTAAGTCCAAAAGATTATTTTGGTAATTTAGAAAAATAATTTCTAAAATTTTTAATAAAAAAACATATTAATAAAAATAATTTAAAACGTTAAAAAAATTAATAAAAAATGAAAATATAAAAATATAAAATTTCCACATGATTTTAAAAATTAAATCAAAAATAAAATAAAATAAAATAACTTTACGAAAAACTTTAGGAGAGACTAAAACCTGAATCTAATATAAATATATATAAACTTTAAAGTATCTAGAAATCCACTTAATACCCTCTAATTAAAATTAACATTTAAACTAATCACTAAAGGAAAATTAGATTTTTTAAACTACTCCTATCACCACATTATTTTAACATTTAATGGGGCTGATGTGTCAACACAATATATTTTTACAATATTTTTTTTTTTTTAATCACTAATTTTAAACATTGTTGCATAACCACATTTATTGATGTATTTTTTATTTTTTTTATTCCATCTATTTTATAGGGAGACCAACAATTTAATAAATTTTTGTATTGTCACTCAAACGTTTGAGTTTTGCATTGGAATAATGCAAATTCTTTTCCATTGCAACTATGCATCTATTATTTATTTAAATCAAATTGTATTGATTCCATTCATCTCTTCCATTATATTTTTCCTCTGTTCTGCTAGCTGTTCCGTCTTCCACCGTCATTCACAAAACAGAGGCAGTAGGATTTCACTACATCACTTATGTTTATTCCTCCATTATACCTTTCTTAGTCTCTTTCATGATTCCTCTGCATTCCATTATACCTTTCTTATGCCTTATTTGGATTGCACGGGTTCTTTAATTGTTGAGAAGCTTTTAGTTTCATCTTCCTATCCACCTCAACAACACTATTTTTTTCATTACGTTTGTGTTTTTCTGTTAATTTGTTGTTGTGTTTTTGTGTTAATTTGTTGTTTGTGTTTTCACAGTACGAAGAGAGTAGAGGAAGAATTGACGCCTACCTCAAATACACTGTCGCCGGAGTCAAAGATATGTTCGGTGATATTGTTACCACTGAGTTTCTTTTGGCTTAATTTAGAGGTGATTTGAATCAAGATCGAGGATGAGTGAGGGAGCAAGAGAAGAAGAAATTGTTGCGGTTGGTTCAAAACCCAGATCTAGAAAATTCTAGAAAGCGAATCTCTGAAAAATTCTGAAAAACTCAGATCTGAAAAAAAAAAGATGAATTTGAAATAGTGATGCTGATAAAGCTTTGTCAAGAGAATATCTAAAACTGAAACGGACAAAGTTTCTGAGTTTTTTTTCATTGCGAAAAAAAAAAGATGAAATTGAATATGATAATTGAGTTTGTGAGTTTTTTTCTTTTATAATATTTAGGTAAATGAAATTTGTTGGGATAATGAAGAACGTTTCATTGTTTGTAATTTTTTTAGAGTGATTGAATAAATATATTTGCAAGTTTTGAAACTAATATGTTAATTGTGATAAAAAAAACGGATATGTTATTATTAATGTTAATACTTTATTATCAATGTTTATGTAATCGTTAAAATAATATCTTTCTAAATATTATATATTTATTGGAAATATATAATTTGTTATTAATAATATTATTATTATATTATTATTAATATTTAAAAACTAATATAAATTAAATAAGTGACATGGTTATTTTTGGGTACAAGTGGATAGAGTTACTCTCTCATTCTATTTCTTCATTTATTCTTTGTATTTTTAAATTAGTTGATCAAATAACATTTCCTTTTTTCTTACAACTCTCTTGATTTATTTAATTAACAATTAAAAAAAAAAAAACTCTTATATCATCAATGAGAAGGACGACAAAATCAATGTTATATATAAATGTGATTTGGTGTGAGTAATATAAATTAATCATAATTAATGATATGTAAAATAGTGTACTATTCTATTATCTTTCATTTACTACATTAAAAGAAAAGAACGATGAAAATATTGAGTTGTGTGCAAATTTTTATTTCCAACGATACATATCAATTTTCAAAATCCGTTCTACAGGGTTTTCACCTCCTAAACCCATCGATATATTTCATATATTAATATAAAATTATATTGTTCAAACTTCTGAATGATTGTATATAGACATTATGGATATTGTCTACATAGTATCATATGACAAAATATTGTCTACATAGTATCATATGACAAAGACACTGCCTATGTAAAAATTATGAATTAAAATATTGTAATTAAGTAAATCATGTGAAATAATAAAAACTTAAATTATTTTTGAAATAACAAATATATTGTTGATAAATTATGTTGTTATTTTTAACAATTTTTTATTTTATTAATGGTTTTTAATGATTTACATAATAATTACATTACTATAATAATATTTCAATGACAAATCTAAAATTAATTTTTGAAAGAAAAAGTATAATATTGGAAAGTTGTGTGTTATTTTTAACAATTTTTTTATTTTATTAATAGTTTTTAATAGTTTACATAATAATTACGTTACTATAATAATATTTCAATGGCAAATCTAAAATTACTATTTTTTATTATTTAGTTTATCTCTATTATTTCTCTATTATTTAGTTTATATTTTATTGGTTTGCTATTTCTCTATTATTTCACTTATAATTATTATAATATTTTATTTTAATGAAAAATGAAATATTATTTCTCTCTTTATAATATAATAGATTATAAAATTTTATTTCTCTCCATAAAACTTTATAATATAATAAGAATTTAAAATTTTATGTTTGTATTTTTTCTCTATATAATATAATTAGAATATTTATTTTACTTAACAATAAATTTAAAAAATCACTTATGATTATTATAAAATTTTATTATAATGAAAAATAATATTTTATTTCTATCTTTATAATATAATGAAAAATTAATATAATTCAATATTCTAACTAATTTCAATTACATAATTAATTTCAAGATACTATGTAGTGCAGATATTTATTTAAAACTAAAATTTGACGGGGAGCTGTCATATATTATAGGTTTTTAAAATTGTAAATATAATATAATAAGAATTTAAAAGTGATATTTGACGTGAAACTGTCATAGTTAATGTAAAATAGTATATATTTTGATGTTTAGATGCTTATTGGGAGTTTGTAGGATCCTCTTTATTCTACATTATGATATTGTACTTCATCTGCCCCTTGGTTTTGTGGGGCTAACTTTTCATAAGCAATTGTAGAACTTTTCTCTCTCTTATTTATGATAAACACAATGAAGCAAATGAATAGGAACAGACGAGTATTTAAGTTTGTACTTAAGACTAATAATAATGAGGCAAATGAATAGAAACACACGCTAGGGTAATTTGCATCTGAAAACCCTAGCGTAAATCGATCTTTTGAATTGTCGATTTAGGGTTCGTTTTTGTTCAACTTCTCAAATTTTCAATTTTCTAAATCTTTTTCAATTGATTAACTTCATGTTTGTTGAATTACAGAAATGGCTAAGTCGAAGAAGCCAGAGAGACATCATCACCCTTCCACTAAAGGGGTATTCATTCTTATCTTTAATTCTTAGTTTTCAATTTTAACTAGATTTGAAATGTTCGATTTTAGATTAATGGTTTATTTTTGTTGATAATTGTAGATGAATCCAATGTTTTTGAGAAACCAGAGGTATGCAAGGAAGCACAACAAGAAACTTTGGGAACTTGTTTATGATCGAGAGTAAAGTTTTTGTATTTTCATCCCAGATCATGTCAAATCTCGACTCTGATATTGTTTTGAAAGTTTTTTAATTTAGACAAATTGCACTACTTTGTTAGTATTTGTTAAGTTTTTATCATGAATATTTATTTTGTGTTTTGGTTTATCTATTACATTATAGACCAAAGTTAAATATAATGAATTTCTACGTTAATATCTCATTTATATACAAATAAATAGAATACTTTGACATATATGTATAGATTTGAGTCAACCAACTACAACTACTTAGCATACAACTTCTCTATATTTAACCAAATCTTCGTTTTTCATTTGGTCTTTTGTTAATGTTATTTGACTTTAAACAAATGTATCTTAATCTAATCTCAGTTTGAATGATATAACAACTCTTAAATATGCAATAGTTTGATAAGGCAACATCATTCAAATACAATTTTGTTTTTTGCATCGTGTATTCATATTTTGAGCATTTCCCTTCTTTGAGAACAAATTTTATATCATAGTACATCTTTTTTAATTGTTCATTAATATTTCATGTGTAACAAAATTTTTATTTGTATAATTATTTTAATACTATTAGTTTATTTATGATGATTGTTCATTCCAAAGTTAAGTTTATCAATTCATATTTACAAAATTATTGGTAAATAAATTGTATTGTGGAGTTCCTTAAGAAATTAAATATTTAAGTAATAAAGATAGTGTTCTGGACTGGGCCCACCCTGGTCCAAAGCGCAGATAAAGGCCCAATCCAAGCAAACTCCTCGAGGAATGCACACCCGTGAATCACCGCCGACGTGCCCGACCATAGACTGTAGCCATGATGCCCGCCATTGCCCGCGACACATAGTGTCCCCGACCAAGAGAACTCCAGCTCGAGTTCTGCTCGAGCACTCTCCCCGTAGGGCAGACTCTGTCCATTCTGACCGTTATCGAGTCCTCTAAGCCCCGGAAAGACCGCGTCTTCGTCCCTCCTTATTCTTCGCAGAGCACCACCAGGGAGGAGACCACGTGCGGGTCCCCACTATGCACGTAGAACCTGACAGTCCCTTTATTGGGCCATTTTTGGTCAGCCCAATGAGGGGACCTTGGTCCAGCGCTGGGGGCTATAAATACCCTCTGTTCCTAGAGGGTCAGGTATTCATCTATTACGCATCTATACAATTTTGCCTGCTCATTCCGTCTCTCATTTTAGCATCGGAGTGTCTTACAGGTACCCCCCCCCATCTCACTCAAATTCTGCTCGAGCCAGTCGTGATGGTCCAAGTCTGATTTGGTAAGATCAGTGGCGCCGTCTGTGGAAAACTAGCTTCCCCGTCTTGCAAACCCTCGAAGACCAAAGCTCAAAATCACCTCCTACCGTCATGGCTGACCAAGTTTGGGATGACCAGAACATCCGCGTCGTCAACATCAACAACAACCTCACGGATAAAAATGGAATTCCCGACAACGCCGGCAACCCCGGCCATAGCACACTCCCCGGTGGCACCATCCCCGGGCCCTCGGTCCACCGCGACGGAGCTACTGCCTCATCTTCTTCAGTCCCTCCGCCACTCGAAGAAGACAATACGGCTCCCCCGAACTATTTAGCTGCCCAATTTCAGGAAGTCCCTGTCCCCGCCGGGGCAGATGCCACGACCCGCGCATTATTCGCTGCAATCAATCAAACCAACTACCTCATCTTTGCCCAAGGGGAAAGATTGAGGGCGCTAGAAGATGACAGAAGACCCGCGAGGAGACACAGGAGACCTCAGACCCCACCTCCTCGAGTAACAGAGGTACATCTCCCGTCTCCCCCGCGAAGACAATACAAAGACACCTCTTGAAGCCCGTCGCCCCGACCATCAGGGAGACGACCCCTCTTGGAGAGGCAACCCGTCATTGAGGCCGTAGGGCGCAACCGCGGCCCCATACGGCAAGAAAGAAGACACCCTGGAGACAGTCACGGGAGAATAGACCAATGAGCATCCCGCTCGAGGGGCACCCAACACGACCAGGACCGTCGAGCCCGACAATATCTTAGGTCCCCGTCCCTATCCCCAGAGCGAAGTGACGAGGACGACCCCCGCGGTCCCCTTTCACAAGCCATCATGGAGGCGCCCATTCCCCCCGGGCATGGAGAAGCCTCCATATTTGAAAGAATACGACGGAGTCGCGGACCCAATCGACCATATAGACAGGTTCGAGGCTATGTTGCATTACCATAATGTCGGGGGACCCATCAAATGCCGGCTATTTCCCACGACCCTTAGAAAGGCAGCAATGGATTAGTATAAAGGTCTCGCCCCGGGATCAATCACCTTGTGGCGAAACCTGAAGAATCAATTCATAAGTTCGTTCATCACGTCTCGACGACATCCAAAGACCGAGGCAGCACTCGAGGCCATCATA